GCAACAAGACTTCAACGATCACACTGGGTATTGGCAACATGCCAAAGCACCTTATTCCAAAACTACAACAAACGCTCAACGATCACACCGAGTGTGGCTCCTTTTTGCTACAAATCCCGTAAAACTGGCAGGCTGTTAGTACAGACGGTCTGCAGTAGACGGGTATTCACAATGGAACATACTAATAGTAGCAACAGAATTTAATTTAAAAAAAAAAAAAACCCTTAGAACGTACCTTGGAAATGTTGAATAGAAACAGCATTGGCTGCAGCAGCACTACCGATTAAAGCATCAGCAAGCTGATGGCCCAAAAATGTCAACGTATGTACAAGAGTTGCTGACGTCTCACCATCAACTTCGTCAATTATTTTTTGAGTTGCTTCGATAACAAAGCGAAGTAGCGGCAAAACCAATTCTGTAATTCATTTCCTAATAAAAATATAACATCCAATGACTGGTTGTTGTTTCACTTTCACATTTCTTCTCAATTTTGATGAAGCTGGCAACTTTTCCATTATTCCTTGCTCTGGGCTTCTTTCATTTTCACAGTTTCATATAGGGGTTCAAGCAAATTCTCCCAATGAAGTGTTCCTGCGTTCTTCAAACACAGCATTCAATAACTATTCAATAACTCGTGCTGCACACTTGCTGCCTCTCATTCTTGTCAATACCGCCAATCCAGCTCCTCTTTCTGGCACACATATTTTGAAAACCTCTCAGTCAACATAGAAAACGCAGTATTTTATTGAAGAAATGCTGTAATTTCCTGATACCAGCTTCCTAATGGCTGCCGTTTTTCTTTCCTAGCAAGAGTGGTACTACATGTTTTTCATTTCTCGATAACAGAACTAAAAAGATGAACTGAATCGAGCCGTTTTCACAACCGGTGCTTTACTAGTACTGGAAAACACATCTCGCAACGTACTGAAGGCTCTTTAACTCACTTTTTAACTAACTAGCTCCAAACCTAATTGGATATTTATTAGTTTCGTTTGTCAAAAATGCAGCTATCCATAAGCTCAACAAATTGATTCTCAGTTTTCATATCAAAACTTGGAAAAATTAATCCCGTTCCCTTTTAGTTTTTCCATCGTAAAATCGAAGTTCAATTTCCTTCGCACTGTCCATGTGCTCATTTAACTGCTTTACTTTTCCATAAAATATTTTTACGCGCTCTAGCAATGCCCGCAAGAAAGAAGTGTTTCATACGTTCGCCGATTTTTATTTTTATCAGTTGTTTGGTAAGACATAGATCTAAAAAACCCATCTACAGGATACTCTAAATTCCATATATAGCTTACTGCACTTCTTTTTAATGAAATATATTATTAAAATGACGCACAAAAGTAACGAAAGGGGAGTTTTTTAAAGTAATAAAATGAGTTTGAAAAATAAATTTAAAAAGACCAGAATAAAAATTTGAGAATTTGCTTCGGTGATCAACTTACGAGTTGGATAAGTAATTGACAGAGCATTCTGGAGATCTTCGCGCGATTGCTGGATGATTTGCTCCCAGGCACTACATAGAGAAGCTGAAAAAAAAAAACAGGCATGGAAATGACATTTCCCTTAAAACATCATCTAAATAGGAAGGAAATTCGAAAAAGATCTGGGTCTCTCCTGAGCGACAGAGGCACTCATCAGTACCCTGTGTGGTAGCCATTCATTCGCTGGTACAGCTGTCGCGGCTTTCGCTACCGAAAGCTGCTTGTGAGCGAACAGATGGCAGCTCCACTTCCTGGCAGATGCCGCTGCCAGTTTGCCATCGATATGAATGGACGCATCGCAAAGACATTGGTTGTCCCGGGGCTGGAGTTGATCCCTCGAAATTCATCAAGACAGCAGCGCTACTCGCTAATGCGATGTGCTTAAATTCGAAAAATGGTACCAAATAAACTTTTTTGTAGAGCCGTCTGCTCCAGCGTGTTTTTAACCTGCATTTCCTCCATGTTTTTAGCGTTATCTGCTTTCGCTTTCTCCAAAGCCTGAAAACAGAAATCGACGTGTTGCACTCAGCTCCGGTACACTGCTAGCACTATTGCGTGCAGTAAATTAGGATAATCGACCAAGTTACTCGAATAAAAAGCTTTAAAAGTGACGAATAATGTGCTGTCTCAGCAAAAAAAAATTGGCCAACGCACGAGCTGCCCGTGCGAATATGCGTTTTTTGCATAGCTCCCCGCAGATTTTTGTCGCTGTGGTTTTACTGGCAGATGCTTCTAGCTAAAAGAATTTCAAACTGGCTGTCAGGACTGTCAGAAAACATCCCTTCAAAATCCCAGTCTTCTAGCTTCTCACTTTCTCGAGTTAGCAACTTATCCGGAAGGAACTTTCAAAGGCTCGTACGTGGGTACCACCCATACCCGCCAGCAGGGTTTGAACTCGTTAATACCTACTTGGGCGCGGAACATCCCGAAATTTCAGCCCCCAGATTTTATAGATCTTGAGATGAAAGTGCGTGACAGACGCACACCACACACACACACGGACACAGACAACCTCTCGTCAATATGCGGTTTCTGCATTGCATAGCCGCAAAAAATGCATAAAAACGCCCAACAATGCAGTATAAATGGGAGCTCACTTCTTTCAATGAACTGTTCTCTGCAGTGCTCTCCTCTAACTGCACTGATAAACGATCAGCTTTTTGCTCAATCGACTGCACTTTTTGTTCAAACTTCAAGTTACCATCCACACTTTTTG